AACTGGAAGAAAAATGTACTTACCACAATCTTCTGGACTTCTTCACTCAGCCAATACTTCTTACTTTTTCTATATGTTTCCTGAATATAGATGTTGATTGATGCCTTCTTTGTAGAGGAAAATTTTCCCAAGGTAACCAAAGAAAAGAAAAGGAAGAAGAAGAACTTGAATATGCAAAATAGAAGAAGCAAAGATGATATAGATGAATGTCATATCGCATATCATAAAGGTAATGAATTGGTAAAGTTAATTAATAATTTATGTTGAGCATCAATTGTTGGTTTATATGGATGATTTATTTAAGGTTTTTAGCAGATGAATCAAATAATGCAGATGGGGAAAAGAAAAAGAGCAAATCATCAAAGCAGAAGAGGAAAAGTAACACACTTGCTGAAAGTGGTGGAGTTAATCAATCTAATGAAATAGAGGATGATGAAATTGGTCAAGAAAATACCATATCAAGTGAGCCTGATAATCAGGAGACAAGAAAATCCAAGAGAAAGAAGAGAAAAAGTGACAAGAAAGCTGGCAAAGCTGAAGTTGACGGTGTCCCCAAACGACAAAGAGGTTAGTGAGAAAGATTATTGAGTTGCAATATTTCACTCTATTATTTCTTGATCATGTATTTCAAATTTAAAATATCTAAGGTATTGAAAAATGTTAAGCAATTGATGTTTCAAAAAAAAAAAAAATCTCGCTACGGGGCAGTCTATAGCACTTGCTAGCATGCCCTTATGTCTATAATTATGCAGCATTGAAACTACTGAAAAGTTTCACTTTTGAACACAATGAAGTGAATCCTGATTGCAGTTCCTAAAATATTTATTTCCAGGAAACAGTAAGAAATTCGTACTTTTCCTAGGAAGCTATGAATTATTTAGGAAATCGCGGTAGAAGATATAGTAATTTAAACCATATAGTTTAAGACTCTAAATGTTAAAAGGTAGTGACATGACACTTCTATCAATTAAAATGAATTTCATTGCTCCAGTTAAATGCAACATACTTACTGTACAAGCATGTGGTCTCGTAATAACAGTTATACCCAATGGCCATCATGCACTTTGATTTACCAACCGTCTTTTGATGCGAATGATCGTAATAAAAAAAACTTATGTTTAAGATCTATATTTGAATTTTTTTTCCTTCAATGCTGTCTAATTCCTATAGACAATTTAAAAGAGACCGATGACATTGTAGAGAAGGATCATCCATTATCAATAGCTAAGGATAATTTTCCAGTGGAGAGAGAACAAGTTGAAGAAGAAGAGATCTATGAACTATCTTCAGGGGATGAGGATTACTCCAAAGGAATGAGAAGTATGATCTTCTCTCTCTATATATACGAAATACCTGTTACCGTGTGATTTGAAAAAATATAATATTATTTCAAAAAGAAAAAGATAATGATACTTGTTGCTTCTAGTGTTATATTCATTGTGATTTTGATATGAGATTTGCCTCGTCAAATATTCCAAAGAAACTCGTTCAAATTACTCACAACATATTAATAGTTCTTGCTGTTGAATATTTCTTTTTCTTATTTTGAGACCTGATTAACACATGCCTGGTTTTACTTTAATGTTTAGCCAGTTATTTTCATAGACATGATGAATTGAAATGTTCATTTTTTGTACGGGGATAATATTGGCGTCCAGGCTAGCTCGCACACACCAAAGAAATGTTTTTTTTGGATAGACTGCAGTGCGAAATGTTGTATATGAGAACACAAGTATACCTTGATAAATAGAAAATTTCCTTTTTTTTCTGGGTGCAGAATGGGTTGCTGATTATTATCAGAATAGGCCAGGGTTAGATGTGTTGCAAGAAAGGATTGATGAGTTTATAATTGACTACGAGGCGAAAAAGGAACAGGTACATTAGTTTCCAGATTATCATGTCATTTATTGATGTTAATGATCCTTTTTGGAGTATGTAGAATGCTTGTATGTAACCTTTTCATATTTGTGGTTGGGAAAAATTCTCATTGTAGTACTCCGTAGCTTATTTTTAATTTTGAAAAAATCTGCTGGACTTGGTGTTTAAAGAGTTCTATCCTCAATCTTTAAAGAGTTTTCCCCTTATCTAGTGGCCTCCCCACATCCTGATATCTCATAAAAGTTTGTTTATTTTCCGGCAACTAATCATGTTCTTTTTTTGGTCAAAAAATGAATATGTATTGAACCAAGTCTAGCAATAAGTACAAGAATAGTTCTTTTGGACTCTTGAACTAGAGCAATAAGAAACTTACTAATCATGTTCTTACAGTCTAGTGGTTGTATATATTCAAATATTGTTTACCTTTTCATATTTTTCTATCTGGTACATACAGGAAAAGAAAGAAAAAGAAGCCCTTGCTGCTGAAGATGGATGGACTGTTGTTGTACATCACAAAGGCAGGAAAAAGACCACAGATTCTGAAACTGGAATTGCAGTTGGTTCTGTTTCTCAGGCTGCAGTTATGGATAATGTGGCCAAAAAGAAAAATAAAGACGTGGGATTAGATTTCTACCGGTTTCAGAAAAGAGAAGCAAAGAGAAACGGTCTGTTTATTGTATCTTTGCCTTTGTCAATACTTTCTGCCTCCATATGTATCCAATTGACTTTGTTTTCCTCAATTAAAATTTTTCTTGAAAGGTAAATTTGAAATCTCAAAAGTTCAAATTTATCTAATCAATCAATCAAAAATGAAAAGGGTCAATTTAGGATATGCTTGAAAAGGCAGCTGTGTTTTTGGTTATTTGTTATATCATTAGTTTAGCAATTTTTTCTGTCATTCATGGTAGATAGCCAAAATGAACCTCAGATAATCCTGAAATAGCAGTGAATTTGACGTCTTGAAAACCACCTCAAAAAGCAGCTTCAATTTGTTCCAAGTTTTAAATAGTTCACCCCTTTTTTATGGAGAGAAAAAGAGTTGCCTTCACACATGTTTGTTCTTGAGATCTTCTATTTTCAAGATTAAGTTGTCCCAGCACTCTCTTTGTCTTACTTGTGTGTATATGCAGTGTGTTATGGTGGTTGTGAACTTTTCCCTTTATCATGGAACTGTGGCCCATCTTTCAATCGCATAAAAGTTGGACTGCTTGAGTAGCTTATATTTGTTGGTTTTAAAACCAATGGTTTCTCTTCTGTTATTCTACTTGTAGTTTATGCCCATAATGTCAAATTTTTCTTGACTAAAGTACATGCCATGTTTTGCAACTATCTATCTTACTAAGTGACTTCTCATTGGTTTGAGTGCCAATAAATTCCTAGATTGAATTTCAATATGGTTATTTTCTGGTTCTTCTGTTTGTAACTTATCATTGTTGGCTTATGTATTGTGTACAGAGATCATGGTGCTGCAGAGCAAGTTTGAGCAAGATAAGAAGCGGATACAACAGTTGAGGGCTGCAAGGAAGTTTCGACCTTACTGAACAAAGAGAAAATCTCCATTACAGAGTTATAGCTGCACAAATTTTACGGAGAACCGGTGTCAAGATTGTTCAGTTCAAATTCTTCTTCCTTAAAAGAGAATCAGCTTAGCTAAGAACAGAGGGTGATCGATAAAGATTATATGATACGCGTGAGATGAGTGTAATAAACTATTGTTCTTGTATGTAGTCCCCAATTTCGGTTGTAGTTGAGTAGATGGCAAATCTTTTTTCACTGAAGCTTATGCTTTATGTTTCTAATGGTACGAATTTCACTTACTACTCAGCTTGATCGTCTGATTCTCTCATAGTTGAATCCCAAGCTTGTTGCTGGGGGAAATTAAAGACTTGCATCTTTTCTATTGTAGCATTCTCTGTTTTATTTATCTTAATGACAGTATTTCCTATATAGTTTGATCATTAAAGCCTGTGTGTTTCCAGATTCAATAGTATTATGATAATATAGTTGGACATATTGTTTCTCTGTGATGTTTCATGTGAGAGAGTTCAGTTTTTGCATAAAGATTAGGAAAGTGGAAATTAGCATATCTTTTTTTCTTTTCGACCATATGGCTGGTAACTATATAAGTATGAAAATAAAATATAATAGTGAAACACATGCTAAAAGAAGTATCAAGAAATACTGAATGTTAACTGAAATAAAGAAAAAACAAATACTAATAATAAATTCAAAGAACAAGTCGGGAGAAAAGTATTACAATCGATTGAAGCAGAGCAAAGCATAAGTTGTAAAGAGTGTTTAAATACACAACAGAGATTTAGTTCACCGGTATCTGGACGGACGGACGGACCTTCAAATGGAAGAAGATTTATCAAGGGAAAGAAACACGGAAGGTGAATGAATGTTCAAAGAGTTTAACACACCAGAAGACCATAAAGAGTACAAATATATTCAAAATGACAATATTTTATATAGTCTCCCAAAAGGTTTATTGCATACACCCAGACAACTGAATATTTAAAAAAACCAAACGTAATAAAGCTATGATTTGAATAGACTCAACAGAGAGTTTTTCATAACCACACCACAGAACTGAATTAAAATACCAAAAACACATATTACTGCTATAGGAGAATTAGACATATTTCTCATTAATATATCTTCTCCATTTCCTCATCCTCGTTCTCACTCCAACAGTTGCTAAGGATTGACCTGGGGGATCCGCAGCTACCACCGCTGCTGAATGTGAGGTACGTAAGCGATCCTCCCTTACCAAGCACTTCAGTGGTCTTTTCTCCAGAGACGTATCCAATAACGTCCAGGCCAGACTCGGTGTAAAGTTCCTTCCCGGGAATGTCACAGTGTAATGCCACGGAGAACTCAGCAGGTCTAAAGCAGGATAACACCCTCTCAATCATTGCAGACAAGTCGACAGCTCTGAAATCGTAACCCACTGCTTCAAAACTTGCATAGCTGAATCCATCCTCAGGGGTTATGTGAATTGTGGAGATTGCAGGGCCTTCAACAGCATTCATAGAGTAACCACAGGGGTCAAAGTCGAAATCACATATGTTCGATTCTGGAAGAATCTTCCGAATGCCTGAAACTTCAGTCATCTCAGCAGCAGTGCTAGATTGAGTCTTGAAAAATACAGATGCCTTCTTCTTGTCCAAGTTAGTCATGCACATCTCCAGTGTATAAACTGGATTCATATTATTGGCATCGGCAGATTCAGCTGAAGCAGAATAGACATGCCAGTTCTGTTGTTTATCAGCATTGCCCATCACATATGCATTGCTGCCTGCACCAAGCTTGCCAAAATAGGTGTCAAGTACGGCCACCTCTTCAGAGAAGTGGCGATGTGGGTATGGCTGAGCTCCAGGAAAGATGAAACAACCGCGTGTGTACCTCACAGACTTCACTTTCAGGTTAAGTGCATCAGCCAACTTAAGAATGGGCGGGATCGAGAGCAGCAGTTTTGTGGTGCCACAAGTTTTGATTATGATCTTGTAAGCGTAGACAAAGAGGCTGGACTCTGAAAGGACATAAGAGTCGACTTCATCATTAGCCAATGAAGACACTATGGTGCATGCAGCAGGTGTCAGAATTTCATCCAATTGATCTTTGGAGAGGGACCGTAGGCCACATCCAGGGCCATAAGAGTTTCCTAACTCGAAAAAGCAAATCTCAAGTCGCTTTTCGTAACCTTCAAATCCGATGGCAGAAACCGGCAATTCCATCTTGCTTGAAAGAGTGTGTTCAGGAAGGATTACTTTTTGGAGAGTGTAACGAGGATGAGGGATGAAGAAAAAGAGTTGAGAAGAACAGAATTCTAAATTTAAACTACTTTTTACTGGAACCACCTCTGGTGGTTTATTCTAAAACACGGGAAATATCAGGATGGCTTGCGAGTGCACTGCATACGAAAAAGACATAGAAGAGCAAACAGTCAGTATATAAACACGAAGATACAAACAACTTGAATGCCATAAGGTAAAGGATAAATAAACTCACGTTGGAGTATGCAGCTGATCTGAATTTCTTGATTCCACCGTTTGGTCGAACGTCTTCAATAGTATAACCTAGGGGAGCTTCGTAACATAAGGAACTACTACTAGTCTTCTTCTTCCCACCTTTAGACTCCATTAGTTCATGGATTCCTACCTGCTTAAAACATTGAAAATAGAGCAGATGGCCAGAATAAATAAGTACTATGGACTTGATAGGTCTATGGATCCCTGTGCACAATCAGCAAATAGATCAACAACTATAAATGAATAAAATAACACCTCAAAAACCAAACCAATGATGTGCTTTTGGGCATTTGGTCCAACGCAAGTAAATATTGGTACTGTGTGTGTGTTGGCTCCTTTCCCTTTAAGGCAGAGGTGAGTTCTGCGTACACAGAGGTCTTTCTAAGCTGAACCAGAAGAGCTGGCTTATATCTATACTAACTAAAGGTAAATGAATAGCTCCTTGAAGCTTGTTAAAATACTTTGAGATGGTAAATTATACCAACAAACCCAAAACAGATACAGTATCTAAGGTATTAATACCCTTCTACATAGAATAATTAATCTATAGCTAACAAAAGAAGTTCTTGGTTTTTTTCCAAAAAAAAGAAAAATTAAATATGTCTATTAAATTTCAACAAGTACTACATATCGAAATTAGAGAGATTGTTCACAATAAAATCCCTGGGTTCAAGAAATCCATATCGAAATTCAAGAATGTAAAGCAAATAAAATACCTCTGTCAATTTCATTAACCCATAAAAAATCAAACCCATGTTTTAGAAAGACCAAACAAACACTAATCTAATCTAAAAACTCATACCTATTTTCTTTAAAACAAGAACAAGAAAGGGCTTCAGTTACATCAAAAGAAAAATCAAATTATTAAAGGGGCTGGTCAAAGAATCCATAGAAAACTTATGAAAGTTGACAGACCGGTAAGTTCGTATCAAGAAATCAATTCTATAAACAATGACAAAGCAAGAAGATAAATATAAAGCAAGAGAGAATCTTTACGTACAAAAATTGGTGATATGAGAGACCTCCTTAGATGAATTAATGCTTCTTCAACCGAACCCTAGAAAACACAAATCAAATTTCAAAACCATATCAGAAAACGCACAAAATTCAAGAAACAAACAAAAATCAATGAAAGGAAAATAAAAATCTTACTGTTTAATTCGATCGACGATGCAAATAGAAAGAGAAGATCTCGAAAGGAAAAAGAGACTTCAGAAGAAAGCTTTGAATTTGTGAATTAATCGGCAAAGGTGGGAAGAGAGAATTACTATTAGGTCAAGAGCTGGAATTTTGTTTCTTCAAGGAACGAAGCACATACTATTACGAAGAGGTGTTGATCTTATTTATATAGGACTAGAGCCGAAACCCGTTTAATGAGATATTGACACGTGTAATTTTAGAAAAATTTGTGGCCTCTCGTTTCTTCTCGAAAATTGTGACGTTTGTGGACCAAGGATATTTTGTGTGGTGAGTAAGAAGCGTGGTGACAACGCAGGAATCGGTACATACATTAAACACAGCTGTATGTATGTTTCATTCGGACTCTACCACTCACTTCCAAACAACTTCATATTTAAACTAGCCTATAAACATAGATTACTATTTATGTATATTAATAAAAAATAAATTAGTGAATATAGTTATTAATCATTATGTAAAACTTGATTCAAGTTAAATAAGATATCCAATTTTGTGGGACTCTATAAAAACGAGTTCAAGTTCAATTAGATTTTTGAGATACTATAGATATTAAAATTTTGTAGGACTTTTAAGACGATTTCAATTTCAATTAAGGTTCTTGAGGAATACTCTACTTTAAATCCTAGTTCAGTTTTGTATAAATAACTTGTATAAAGGATAATATATATTTTTGAAAAAGCAAATATCTTACAAACTTTGAGTACTTTGCAGAACCGTGAAATTTCATTCTATAAGATTGAGTTTTAGCTTTTCACTAGAAATTGAAATCTCAAAAATCAACAAAATAAGAAGGACCAAATTATATAATTGAAAATGTGATTTATATATATAACGTAATTCATATTTAATGGGACTAAATTAGATATTTTAATTAATTCAAAATTAAATATGTTTGTTTTAAAACTAAAGTAAAATAAGATAAGAAATATAGAAAATGATATCGATAGAAATAAGGAGACAAGAGATGAGAGTTTTTTTTATTCTTACAAATATTTAAATGTGTACAATATGAATCCTTATACATTTATTTATTTATTTATTTATTTATAGTGTAACATAATTTTGTCAATGATTGATTAATAATAGGCTTGTTCAAATTGGGATTTCAAGTGTCTTAATGTGTTTTCTATTTTCTAGTAGACGTGTATCGACCTTTTGAAAATTCTTCTCCCAATGCCTATTTTGTGAGTTACGTGTATGTTTATCATAAGCATCTTCTACCCATTTCCTTTTTCTTCTCTACCTACCATTCACGAGACTACTTATCTTTCCAACCAATTATTTTTATACAAAAAAGAAAAACTTGCGAAGGCACGCCGGATAAACTCGCTCTATACAAACTTGCGAATCACATCAGAATTGTAAATTATATAAGACAAGTTCGGTCCGATGAGTTTGACTAAAAATGCATTGACAAGAGGAATTGATTTCTCAACTCTTTTATGGAATACCACTTGTTGCACCAATTCAGTCATCCTTACCGGTGTTGCTCATTTTCTTTCTAATTAATATTTTTGAATTTGTAATGGATAAAAAATTGAGACCATGTAATAATTTCTTTTAAAGGAAAAGGATGATAATATTTTGTTAGTATTAGACTAGCTAAAGAAAGAAAGAAAATAATGAACGAGTGGTATTCGAGTGGAATAAAATTGAAAAAGAGATTGTGACAACTCTCGCAGCGGTGTATATTAAGGGATAGAGAATTGTAGGTTTGAAATTTCTATAAAGATGCATGGTCTCTTTTTTGAGTATAGAAGAAAGAATATTTGCTATCTTTGGCCTCAATTAATTTTGGAGTTTACACATACAAACGTGTCATACTAATTGATTAGATTACTTACTTGCTCATCAAGAACTAAATAAGATAACAACCATTGGTTGACTATACGATTCGAACATTTTTAGGCCCACTTTCAAAACTATATTGTGACACCATCAATAGTCATCTAATTTCTTTAGGCATTTGTTTGGGCTTGGCAAGGGCCCAAATGAATTTATTTGGGCTGGAGATCGATATTACATAGGCCCAATAGATGATTTAGTCCAAGCCCGTAATAGCTCAACTCTTGAAAATAACAAAAGAGTCCAAGCCCGCAATAGCTCAAATCTGTACTCTTGGTCTATACTAACCTAAAAAATAAAACTTAACTCAATTTAAAAGGCGGATTTCTATAATGATTTTACGTTAATATATAATATTAAACAATCATATATTTATAAAAACCTTGTAATTTTTTAATAAAAATAAAAAATCTCAACAAAAGCTATTGGATTGACATAAATATAATCGTTAACCTATACCTTAGTTAAAAGAGAAGTAGTATATATTTATTTTTTTGATGATTCAAGTAAAACAGTACTTGCAATAAATTTGACCGTGAACAAAAATAACGGCTAAGATTTCATATAGTTTTTTCTTTTAAAAAATAAATAAAAACGGCACTTTCCACGTTTTGGCAGAAGACAATAATGAGTCATTCACTGCCAAACTTTTTAATGCATATAATTGTGTTGATAATATCTGCTGACTGCTGAGTTTGTGACACATCAGAAATGTGCTAGCTGTTCGTGACTCATCTCTTTTATCTAACAAAACATGTTTCTGGACTCGGATTGATGCTTGCCCTAATTATTATGGCAAGGTAACTTAAGTTTTTTTTTTCCTTTCACAAGCTAGGAATTGAACCCGTATCATTAAAGGTAAAAGTTTAGATAGACAATCAATTGAGAACTGCATGGCACGCAACTAACTCACTTTAAGTTTGCTTGTTAGGAGTATTTCTTTACAAATGAAACAGTACAAAAAATGATGGAATTTAATTGATAGTTCCTAGATATCCGTTGCTAAATAATTTATAGCTAATTTAATTTTCATAGAATTTATTACTAATCTGTAGCTTAATGAGATTAACATGATCAAAATTTTGTCGGTCGCTAATATGTTATTTACTAATAGTGAAAGTTTTATATAAATTCTGATTAAAATACCACCTCGCATATGAAATGGTTGAACATTACTTTATTTGTGAAAGATTTTATGGCTGAAGCAAATATCAAACTACGTAAAAATGAATGTGTTTGGCAGATGTTGAGAAAAAGAGATTTGTTTGGACATGATGAGTTGCTGATTCTTTTTCTCTTTTTCTATCTTCTCATCGAGAGGAGTATGTTAGGTGAGAGTTGGGTGTTGGGACATGGACAATAAATGAGCTGGAAGCTACTTACTCTTGGCCGATTTGACCCGAGGTTCTCAAATATTCTTAGTAAATTATATTTGGGGAAGTTTTTGATAAAGTTACATCATGTGTTTGGCCCCAAATTTTCCCCTAAATATTTGACTATTTCAAAAAATATTATTTATATCCATAAGTTTTAAAAATTATTAAAAATATTCATAAATTTATATTATCATTTTATAATGAATATGTTTCGTTAAAAAATAAATTTATAATATAATTGATAACAAAAAACAATAACAAAATAACAATATAGGCAAGACAATACATTAATCACATACTCAAATTTGTCACTGATTCAGTTATAATTATAACTCATTAAACACAAATTGTTCTTTTTTCTAAATTTTATCACTTAAATTAAAACTCAAACTTTTTCGGAGGAGGTAGTAACAAATATTAGTTGGAATTAATAAATAATGGATATTTTTTATAAAATATAAAAGTTTGGGGTGATTTTTGAATTTTATAAAATTCCCAAATATTGGACTTGGCCTAAATATATTTGTCTAGTTATATAACCAAACACCACTTTTCAAGTTTTTCCCAAATTTTTCACAAGTTTTCCCCATGTTTTTTCCAAGTATTCTTGGGACCAAACGAATCCTAGACATAGACAATAATCACTATTTTACTTAAAAGTTATTACTGGAAAATGTTTGGTGGATATTCTTATAGATATTTTAATTCAATCAGGATAAAATAAAAAAATTGTAATATTTCATCCGGAAAAAATTAGAAAGTTTCTCACTATCGCAATAAGAATCTATTCTCATTCATGCATTTTTTTTAGTAAATTGGCTCACTAGAAATGAGTAGAAAAATCATAGAGCATTCAACAACACAATTTTTAGTGGTTCGTGATAGAAGAACCTTTATTTCCAGTAGTATATTTTGTTAATTGTAATTAACTTGGAACTTCAAATTCGACTATTATAGTTAGATAAGAGTGAGTTGTTCGGATGATAAGCATCCTCACTAGCATAGTAGCACCCTAAGCTCACTTTCAATTCGAAGATTATGAGTTCAAATCATCAAGAAAGTTAAAAAGATAGGAGCTTTTAGAAAGAGGTAAAAAAAACACTACCACAGTTAAAAAAAAAATTAAAAAAAAGAAAAAAAATTGGTCTTTCATGCGCCGTGCCTTCCATGTAATTTCTGGAGGTAGCCACAGAGAATCTAGCGCCTCAGTATAATGTTTACGGCGTGGAATATTAGTGTACTAAAAAAATTAATTAATATAATCATTTTATTATGCTTAAAAAAATTAAAGTATAGATCGAAAGTAGGGTGGGTGTGAATTATATATGCAGCTGAGATAGCTTTGTTTAATATATGTGATTAGAAACTTTGTTTAATTATTGCCTCTGACAATTTGACTAATAATTAGGTAGAGATAATAAAGTATACGACGTCGTACGTAAAGATCTTGCTCAATCATTAATACTTATGGACTATGGTCAGTGCAAGTTGTCTCCTTTTAGCACTAGAAAATTAAAATTTATGGGTCCAATTAATTTTACTTCTTCTCAAGTCTATTTGAGTGCTAGGGTTAGAAAAATGCTACTCGAACCATATGGTATTTGGATTGGTAAATGTCAAAACGGAGTAATATGCATGGTTATTGAGGATTCACATATAGTACCGCAACTAATTTATGATCGATGCATAATATCTGTTATTTTTTATGGTTGTTTTTAGACGGTTATAATATTTTAATAATAATTGGTAAAAACTTTAAATTGAAAAATATTTACTTTATCATATAAATTGAGACAGACTGTTCATTTTCTTTTGTTAAAATCTCGTACTATGAATCTCAAAATTTATATCAGCATGTCCTTTTCAGAATTGATGTTTCGAACCAACTAGTAAGTATATGAGAAGTTTGTTTCGATAGTTTATGGCTTATTTTTAATTTATTTTTATTTTTTTGACTTAAAACAAGTGTATATATACAATTTTTATTTTATTTTATAAAATACTACAAAACAATTTAAAAACATATAAAATAAACCAATCCAAACAGGCTCGTGTGTTTTATCTGGTAGGTCCTCCAATTGCCTACTAGCCGGAACTTTTTTTGTAACATAAAATTGCTTTATAATGATTGACCCCCAATGTTCTTGTTTATTTAATGTTGAGGTTTATACAACTTGTTCTTCATTTTGCGGCTCTTTGAATTTCTTTCCCATTCTACTTAGTACTCTAATTTTTGCAACTTTAATTGTATAATAACAATAATAAAGGAGCTTAAAATTAGAGCCGTCAAAATGGGCTTAGCTCATGGGGCCGGCCTAACCCTACCTATTATTGGGGTAGGGTTGGAATAAGATTTTTCAAGCCCATTTAAAATTAGGGCTTATATGCCCGGCCCATATAAGCCCTTGGCCCTTGAGGCTTGATCGGCACTGGGCCGGGGTCAGCCCATGGGCCAAAACTTTTTATTTAAGAGTAATTTACAATAATTTTACTAGTATATAATCTAATTATTTGAATACACGCTATGTTGTAATATTATAAATCTTCGTATCCAAATAGTATCTCGAAATATATTGACTCAAAATTGGGTTAATTTGTTCTAGATACACCCTATCCAAGTAGATTCACATGTATCTAGGATACATATACAAATCTAGCGCCCTCGCCTCCCTCCTATCTTGCTTGTCACTCTCTTATCTCACTAGCATATTCAGTATGCGAGATACATGCTAATTACACTAGATTTTTGTTAGTATTATTGAAACAACATCATTGTTTGTCATATTTGATTTGAAAATCTTTTCATTTTTTTGATGTTATAGAATTATAAGTTTGAAAAGAAAGAAAAAATTTAAAAAGAAAAACAGAAAGGCTAGCCTACCCCAGCCCTCGGCCCTTCTAGGGTTGGGTTGGATTGAGCATTTTTAGGCCCTACCAAATTAAGGGCCGGCCCGCCCTAGCCCTTCAAATTCCTTGGCCCTCGAGGCTTGGGCCCGATGGGGTTGAGCCGGCCTTTTTGACAACTCTACTTAAAATGTTAATCAAATCCAGTAAATCTGATTTATTTCATAATGTCTCGATAGAGAGAGAGAGAGAAACAGATACACACTTTGTAATTTCAACATTTTGGCTCCACTCTAGGGAGTACCTTCTTCCACTTCTATTTCTAAAACACGATACCAAATATAACCAACTTAAGGTGCTACTACATTATATATAGTAATATAATAGAACCTAAAATAGCACATGGAGAAAGATACAACAAGTGGACCTAAAATAAATATGTACATTTTTTTATTTTCCATAACACACAAGAAGATAAACTGACTTCCTCCTCATGCATTTTACCCATCCATGGTTGCTTTGATCTTCATTATCATCATCATCAATTTTTGCCCTCACATCATTGAATTATTTACAATAGTCGGTGATGTTTCCTCGTTTATTATTCTTACTTACTAATATAGATTTCACATTCTCAATATTAATTTAAGAAGTTGCCACTTCCAGTCTCCTGCTCAATTCCTTCCTGCAAACACATTGCCATAATCAAATTAACAACGTTCGAGTATTATAAAGTTATTAATTTTTTTTCAATTTTTCTGCAATGGTTACCTCATGAGTTGCCTATCGAATGCCGATGTTGACAACATGCCTCTGTTTTCTTCAGCACGCCTCATAAGGTAATGCATAATCTGCTCTACAGGACCAAATGGCAAATACTTGCTAACTTGAAATCCTGCATTTCTCAGCCCAAATGAAAGACCATCTGCCATACCATATAGCTGAGCAAATTGGAGATTTTGCCTCTCATTTTTTATTCCCAAATCTATAGCTTTGGTTGCAGCAAGTTTTCCTATATATATCACACATTATACATGTTAGACAATAGCGAACAAATTTATTTATATTTCAACGTAGATATAAATGATGGAAAATAATTAATTGTTACCTGACTCAATGTTATGAGTGGCGAGAACAACTGCACCAGATCCATTAGCAATCTCTTCAATCATAAACTCCGCACACGAATTGAAGCAAGCGTGTGTTTGCTCAATGCTATCGTGAATCGGAGACTTGAATCCTAAAGTAGAAGCCAATTCCTTTTCACTACACATGTAAGCACCCCTCACAAGCTTAAATCCCATTGGAACTCCCATTTTCTCTGCAGCCTTTTTAGCGATAACCATTCGTTCCTTAGCGTCCTTCAAGTAAGCTTGAATTGTTCCGAATATCAAAGGCTGATCATCTTTATGGTACTTAATTGCTGCAGAATACGCAAAGTAATCAATTGCAGGTTGAATTGTTGTGTCTTCCGCATCAATTAGTAAAGGAACTTGATGTTCCAAACATTTCTCGCAAATTTTCCTAAGTCTTTCATGAGCTAATTGAAGATCACGTTCTTCCTCTACCGTTAGAGGCTCTGGTTTGCTCCAAGTGTGATAAATAGGGCTCGATTCGGCGAAAAGTGGAAGCGACTCTTGCTTCCACGGAAGATTGAATGATGGATCTTTCTGTTCCCATCTTAACAAATCACTCATTCTTTTTAGAAGCCTTGGTGTACAAATTGCAGTTATCTTTGCTACCACAAAGCTTGCCTGTTTCACCAAAAAAATTGAAATTGATAAATCCAAGAATATTGGAAGAATTTGATAATATAAAACAGAATCTTTGAAGAAGATATAGACATTCCTTTTCAGAAATAGAATAAAGATTAAATTCTTACTGAAGATTCGGGAAGTGATTCGGTTGATTCAATCGTTTGAATAAAGGCCGCCGTACTCTGTTCACAAGATTCATTATCGGTGGCATGTTCCACCCCATAATCAAGCATGGCTTTTAACCCAGAATCAGATAGATTGGTAACGGTCCGTCTAACTTCCGTTAAGTCTTTCCCGGCACAAAAATGCTCATAAAATGTATTTTTAACAAATCCAAGCATAACCTCCCTAAAAACAGGCATTTCCATAAGTTTAGAATTCATTATCCACATACCCAAATCAACCATGGGATCAATAGCAGCCATTTGTAACGTCATCGATGATCGAATCAGTTTCTTGGTCGGAACGCCGTAGAATAGCTCCTTAACATCATCGAAATTGATAATGTTATTAGTATTATGATGGTCGTGGTGGTTTGTGTTAATCTGTGGTGCGGGTTCCACCAAATTTGGTACGGCGTTAAAATCGCCAGTGAAATTTAACGGTGGGACGGCGGAAAGAGGTGACGGAGCTGAGTTTAAACGGCGGACATGAAATCCGAGGTTCTTAAGGAGTTTCGGACAAAAAACTTTATTGGCCATGCAACGGTGGGCGGCGGAAGATGAATTTTTTTTGTGTGTTTATAATTTTTTTATTCTCTCTCAAATGAATATGTAAAGTTTTTGAGAAATGTATGGTATTTATAGAAGAAGTTTGTTTTTTATTTTGTTGAAGTGATAACTTAAATTACGCAATAATTAAATCATGCTGAGTAGATGCTGTGTTGTTACTGACGATGTATTACTGTAGATGTTCAGTACCACCATGTGTATTTCACCGTTAAATTTCTGTATCTTAGCTGTTTTTTTGTTGTTCCACTTGTCTTGGATACCGTCTTTTTTGTACCTCAAATTTGTTAGTATAAATTATACTAATTAATATGTCCTACTTTCTTGCACACTTCCTGACCACTTCGGTCTACAACTTGGTCTTTCGCTTTGCGGCTTTTTGACCCTACCAATTTGAATTATTTTCTTAAACCCACTTGTTTAAAAATTATTTTTCTTGCTTTTGATAGAATTTTAATATCCATTTTTACTAGTCAAATAATATATATTTGTAAGACTTAAATTGTTTTTATTCAATAATTGAGGTATAGCAAGAATACATAAAAAAAGTTGTGGGGCATAAAGGAATCTGAATCTCCGCCTTCAAAATCATGAGATTCGCTGTAAAGGACTTTTCTTATGGCGTGCTCCGGTTGAGGAATCTTTATGTCATAATCTAACGCCAAGATTCTTGGCAAGTGGTAAAACCTATCACGTGAGCGCAATTACTGACCGATTTGAAGTTTTTATTGTTTAGGTAAGCAACATTGATTTGTAAAACCCCATGAAAGAAGTTGCTAGAAATGTTGACCACGAAGGAAGACACTAGAAGTGAACTTTTTTTTATTTTCTATCCGGTGTCCATACCATGTTGGAATCTAATTAAATTTGATTCACGCCAAAAAATTTCGGCGCTCCCCATTAAAGATGATTCCATACGCAAAGGAACTCAAACCCGATACCTCTGATAAATTGGAGATGCTACAACCTATCTACCTTATTTATGAGCTAAAACTATACTGAGTATGTTATTATTATTATCGTTGAGTACTAAAAAAATATTCTCATTTTCACTATGTTAATAGTTGAAACTAAATCAACTCTAAACAATATAACATCGAGTTTTAAGTAACTCTGATTTAATCTGGAATATTTTCACAAGAAGAAATAAATAAAGGTATAATTTTCATCATTTCGGAAACTTTAATTTGTAGTAAGAAAAAACCAATAAAAAAAGTTGGAAGACTTCCATACTAGTAGTAGTAGTACAAGTAACAATAGTGAAAAAATAGTAGTACAACAATGAATTATTTACAGTAATCGCGGACAGATTTGAATCTCTCGTTAACATTCAAAAATAAATAAATCATCAATACAGGATTTTGGAGTGTCAATTGCTCTGTTACAAGCTCGATTTATTCATAGTAGTACTAGTTATATGCATATATACACTTCCATTATATCTCAAGATTCATGAAGTTCCCACATCAAATCTCCTGATTAACTCCTTCCTGCAAACAGTAATATACAAAATTAATAAAAACATATGAGTTTAAACTTCTCTGTTTTTTGTTTACAAAATTATTAATCATGTTTAATTACCTCATGAGTTGTCTATCGAAGGCAGATGTAGACAAAAGACCTCTGTTTTCTTCAGCTCTTCTAATAAGGTAAGGCATAACTTGTTCTACAGGTCCAAATGGTAAATATTTGCTCACTTCAAATCCTGCATTTCTCAACCCAAATGAAAGCCCTTCTGCCATACCATATAGCTGAGCAAATTGGAGCTTTTTACTATCCTTTCTAATCCCTAAATCTATCGCCTTGGATGCAGCAAGTTTTCCTATTTATCAAAAGTTCAAAACATCTAATGAGTAATTTGTTATGCAAATTCAAATATTATTAAGTGACATATTGAATACTATTAATATAATTAAGTAAATAAAAGTGTACTATCACAATATTTACCTGACTCAATGTTATGAGTTGCAAGAACAACAGCTCCTGAACCATTAGCGATTTCATCAAGCATAAATTCAGCACAAGAATTGTAACAATTATGTGTTTGTTGAATGCTATCGTGAATCGGAGATTTGAATCCTAAACTTGAAGCCAATTCACTTTCACTTGACATATAAGCACCTCTTACAAGTTTAAAACCCATAGGAACTCCAATTTTCTCTGCTGCCTTTTTTGCGATGATCATACGCTCCTTGGAGTCTTTTAAGTAAGCTTGAATTGTTCCGAATATCAAAGGATGATCGTCTTTGTGATACTTAATTGCTGCTGAATATGTAAAGTAATCAATTGCGGGTTGAATAGCTGCATCTTCAGCATCAATTAGTAACTCAACATCAAGTTCCAAGCATTTCTTGCAAATTTTCTCAAGTCTATCATGAGCTAATTGTAGATCACGCTCTTCATCGACCGTTAGAGGTTCTGGTCTTTTCAACGTGTGATAAAAAGGACTCGATTTGGCGAAAAGTGGAAGCGTCTTTTGCTTCCATGGGAGATTCAATGAAGGATCTTTTTGTTCCCATCTAAGCAAATCACTCATTCTTTTGAGCAGCTTTGGTGTACAAATTGCAGTTATCTTTACTACCACAAAACTGACCTGTTTCATCACAACAAACACTAATTAGTATGAAAACAAATCTGTTTATTGTTAATGAGGTACTAAAAAAATTGATTCTACATGTAAAGAAATCAGGCCGGTTAATTATTACAAAAATATACAAAATTTTATCACTAACAAGCAAAAAAATTGATCATCAAGCAACAAAAATAAGTCTATTTTTATGATTTAGATTTTTGGATCTGTTATCTATTCATTGAATATTTTATTCCAATTATTTTTCAAAAACATTTATGTCTTTTGTTGAAAAGTCATGAAGAAGAATTTAATTGTGTTAGGAATCAGGTTATTCTAAGAAGAATATACGTAACTTAAGGAAAAAGTTAAATAAGAATAAAAAGGTGTATTTTATTTAAATTCCACGCAATAGACACGTTCTGTTGCGTCAGCCGTCATCTGTTGCAATTTGTTGAATTATCTTATTTTGTGGAATCTAATCCAATGAAAGCGCATAAAAGGCTAAAGTCGGAGACTCAGTTTTTCTTTCTAGCTTGTTCCAAAAAGGCTTGGGACTTTTAGAATTTTCAAATAGAATTAGTTCGATTTAAAACTAGAAATAAATAATAAAAAAATAAAGTAATAAGATTTGTAGGAATTTGATCTTACAGATGAGGATGGAAGAGACTTGGCCAATTCGGCTGTTTGAATAAAAACTTTCATACTCTGATCACAAGACTCATTCTCCGTGGCATGTTCCACACCATAATCAAGCATACCTTTTAAACCAACGTTAGACAACTTACTAACCGTCTTTCGTACTTCAATCAAGTCTTTTCCAGCACAAAAATGTTCATAGAATGTACTTTTAACAAACCCTAGTATTACCTCCTTGAATATTGGCATATGCATGAATTTCGAATTCATTACCCACACACCTAGGTCAACCATCGACTCGATGGATGCCATTTGAAGTGTCAACGATGATCTAATCAACTTCGAGGTGGATACACCCGTAAACAACTCCTTAACATCATCAAAATTGATCACTTTTTTCTCAGGATCGGCTAATATTTGGTCCGTAGGTTGTAACGTCGGTGTTGTTACATTCGTAGAACCATAGTTGCCGGTGAAATTCATCGGTGGGACAACCGGAGCCGTGTTTAGACATCGAGCGAATCGTCGGAGGTCACGAAAAACCTTTGGACATACAACTTTGTTTGCCATGTAGTTAATGAATTTTTTTGTTTGTCTCTAAATTCTAATAAAGTATGTGTAACGTTTGAAATGTTGCATGATATTTATAGAATTTCATTAGTCAAAGTCAAGTTTGGTTTAGAAATACTCTTTTTACTTTTCCTATTCCTTTTATATTTCCAAGGTTTAATGAATTTTCCTTTTCTTAATAAAATTTTGATATCCTGATCCCTTCAAACATGTGATTCAGATTCTACGGCGATTGAATTTCGATAAGAGGGAATGTAGGGAAACACACTCGCGGAAACTAAATATAAGAATAATCGTACGTTGTTTACACGCGCGGGGAGTGCAAGTGGAATTGGTGTGCTTAATAAATAGTTGGATACAGCCGTCACTGTGTTCAGCATGGCTTTAGCGTCATTCCCAGTGTAGTTAGAAAAGGATAAAATTTGTACAATCAGCAGTGTGTCGGATTGGTCCCACTTCCACGTGGAATAATGTAATTTTTATCTTTTTCCTTTTTTTTTTCTTTTTTAGGAAAAGATTTTGTTTTCCCTTTCATATTTACGTTTTGTTATTTATTTCCTTACGTTGCACCTATGGGTTGGGTGAAATTTGAGTCCCTCTAATATTGTATATTGGTATTTACTGGACAACTAATTAAAAGCCCAATATTTAGAAAGAAACATTACACTAATCAAAGAAAAGATTCTTCCTTCAAAGTAGGCGCGATATTGATGGGTTGGAAGTAAAATTTATGCATGCCTAGGTAAATGATATTTTAAAAAGTTTTATTCATCTCATAATAAAACGTTATATATATAAAAATCTTTTATTTGGTCAAAATTATGGCAGTTTTCATTTTTAAATTTGAGATTATTTTTTTCTGATTGAATTGTATAGATATGATTGTCATAACAAAATATAACAAATTCTCCATTCACGCAGGCTCCAGCAATCATGAGTACAAACTTTATAAAACAGAAGTAGCCAAACAATTTCTTTTAAGTCCTGAAGTAGAGAGTGTTGCTTGCTAAAAATGTAACTGAACAACCTGTCGCTGGGTTTTATCCGTTTTATCTTGGGAGGAATTGATCTTTAACTTCGGGTACTTGAGGGGATTAAATTTCTTAAGGACACACAGTGACTTTTGTGCACTCGGATAATTCTTTTCTTTTTCTTTTCATCTTAATTGTTTTATAATTTGTTAATCTGAATACAGGAGATAACACATGTACACCTTTATATTATATAATAAAAACTTTCTTAATAAAGTTGAAGTTTTCCCGTACTATTGCTTCTTAATTGTTT